ACTGGACTGGTGTCTTACCTTAGACCCGCGCTGAGTGGGCTGTCATCAGTCCGCCATTGTTTCACCGCTGGAGCAGTTGTAGACAAGAATGACTCCTAAGCAATTGAGGTGTTCTGTTGTTGGATGTAATAATGAACATAGCAGTCGTCATTTACTCCCAACATCTGAGCCACTGAAGACGCAGTGGATTACATTTGTTTCTGAAGGGAATGCGCCCCCGATCTACATAAATGCATCTATGTTCGCGCGAATCATTCATGATCCATCCTCATCTACAGAAGAAGTGAGTATAATGTTTTGTAATGAATCTTTGCAAATCGCCTTTCCTAATAATGTGCTGATTAGCAAGTTTCATGATGAATGCAGCTAAAGTAAACAGTCTCTCTGAGAGCAGCTCAGAAGAGAGGGGCGGGGTCAGCAGAGCTCATTAACATTTCAAGGGAAATGCTACAAAAACGGCTTGATCTGAAAAGAGCTGTTTTTGACAGGGTAAAAAGGTGTTTTTTACACCACCATTGAGACATTTTAACCAAACTATGTTACAGACTTTTCATTAAGACCCCAAAGAATCATATCAACTTGTGGAAAATGGGCATCCTATGACCCCTTTAAAGGATTAGTCTAAATCCTACCCAATGAGCCTTCCATTTCAATGCTTAGCCCAGGCTCAGCCATACCAACTGTCTACATGTCTCATCACTTATCACATCATTTCTCAAGAGTTTGACAACAACAATTCTTCAGTCGAACCTATGCTTGAGCACTATGACAGAAGTATTGAAATTGTATGGGCTAAGGAATAGTTGCAAAATGTTGCTGAAATATAACTCGAAAGCCCTGCTGTGAGGTTTCCTGTCGTTTTCCTGTACCTCTTGGATGTGGAACTTTTTTTCTTTTTTTTGCCAAAAGGTAATAGAAAACACAAGTGTAGTGCACGGCCTCCAGACAATTGGTGCATCTAAATGAATAATGAAGCAGCTTTTAATGTAAAACTACATTTTTGTTTTTTTTATTTTGATAAACAGAACCTTCATTGAATGTGAACACTGAAAAAATGATTAAAAATACATTCATAATTATAATAATAATATACATTTTAGATTTTTCCTAATTCAACATTCTGAAACACTTAATTTCTTGTATTGTCTCTTTCACTTAATAAAATCAGATTTCTTATATAAACCCTAACCATCAAACCGACACTTAAACACTGAGGATTAAAAGCATCAGCTGCAAACGCATTACTCTGAAATACACTTCCATGGAAGCAGTCTCCTCTCCACTTTCACCCACAATGCCACTGCAGGAGAGTTACAGCAAAAAAATTTAAATCTATCTTTTTATTGAAGAGGCCAGTGACATGACTAGTTTAGATGCTTGAATTCAATTGTTCCATCCTATTGGCCATTCTGAGTGCTCTTTCATTATTTCATACGGCACATGCTGGGCTCTATTGCATGGACTGAAACTGAGCGCAAGAGGGGGAAAAAATGTGATCTTCGACTACCCCCCAAAGATGATGAAGTACATAAGCAGCAGTGGGGACTGCATAGAGTATGTGGACCAGGGGTCCAGGGGCCAGCGGATCTTTCCCACATGCTACCCCGTGGTTTGGCTCTGAAGAGGTGTCAGCGAGCTCTAGAGGAATGAAGTGCCTGGACATTGTGCTGTTGTACTATTATGTGCTTAACATTACCATGACAAAAGTGCCACTCGACTTCCCCTCCATTCAGCGGGCTGAAGGGCCCTTGTCCCCACTCTAATAAAACATTTTGCAACCATCACCCCCATTTGAAGACACTAGTGACAAGAGTGGGAGAATAAGAGTAGAGGGTTTTAACAGCGTGGAGCTGAGAGACAGAGAGAGGCCAAGCTGAATATGATTAAATTACATGGAGGCACCGATATATGCATATGTGCACCCCCAAGCCCCAGATGAAAACTCGCAAACATGTCATTTTTTTCTTCATGGAAAACATTTACCAACAATCAAGCAACCCATTACATCATACAGAGAACTTGGCACAAATTTGTTCAAGTATAAAATGGAAATGCATGCAACAGCAATTCATACATTCCAAGAAACAACTATATAGGACAAATTATCATTTAAAACGGCTGCAAATTTCTAATGGAAGTTTAGTGTAATGCACAAATGTTTTACTACAAATTAGAGTAGTTCTCTACAAGTCTTTCACCATTTACAAGACAAACTCGGGTGCTGGTATGATAGATGTGCTGTATAACTTATCCCAGATACATACATTTAGTCTCTTTATTAAGATGGTTAAGGCAAGGGTCACCAGTCATACTGCAGAGATGAATTTGCTTTTTGGATAAAGTAACATCAAGAATCCTGACACTGTAAAGTTCAAGTTTACTTCTATCCTACACAGTCCAAACACTTTTGAAAGTGAATTTCTGCTGGCTTTCCAAAAGATCAATCCACTCAAATATAGAACTCGTTACAAGATAATCAATTTGCAGTTTGTGTTGTTCTGCTACTGTTTCTCTGTTAGCTTAGAACAACCTAAGTCCTGCTTTATATTTGCAGTAGTGGCGTGCAGACAAAGGCCTTTAAACAAACACAGTGATTGAAAAATAAATAAACCTCTGTCTGTCTTGGCCCAGATGCAACACGGACACCCCAGGGAAAAGCAACTCACACTTTTGTGTTCACATTCTAAAGATATCCAAATACCAGAGTTTACACATGTGTTTGCTAAGTCGTGTGTCAGCGCTTCAAGCTCCTTATGTGTGATACCTAATCTGTTCCTGAAAATCTAGGTTTAGCATCGGAATCCATGCATGGGGTCGATACAGTGAAACTTTGTAATGACACTATGAAATATGAACATAGTTTTACAAACATAAAAAAATTACACATACTCGGTTTAAGTCTTTGTACTTTTGTTTTTATGCCTTCTATAAAAAGAACATCACTGAGGCAGCCATACAGTGGATTTAGACATTTCATAACAATTAAAAGATTCTCTGAAAATCTGTACACTGTACAATATCTTTAAAGAGAAATAATTACAACAAAAATGTAACTTCCCTTTAAACCTGGAATCATCACCCTTTGTTGTGAAGGTTACTTTATGACAAAAATAAAGTTCTCTCTCTTGAATCTCTAGGACTTTTATAAGATGTATCAAATGTTACCAGCTAAAATAGAGATCTACTCCTTATTCATTCCAGCATTTCAAACACTTTTTACAGAAGGTACTTATCCAAAGTCATTTGCAACTTTATAAAAATACTTTACATATTAAAAAAATAATAATAATCTAGTTTTACATTGGCAGTGCACAGTTTTACAATTACAACTTTCACTGTTAAAATGTGTAGATAACAAAATAAACTTTTTTTATATCTTTAAGGAAATAAATTTGTCTTTTACAAAATAGCACTTGAAATAGGCAAGCTGGTGCTTCAGACAGTTGACTGAACTAAAGTACTTTGTATCCCTGCTCTTAACTTCAGAATCAGAATTTTGGCTTGATAATTAAAACTTTCATTAGACAAGCCATTGTTCACCTGCACTGAATCTGTAACTGTAAATTTGCATAGCGAATCAAAACACATTTACAATGTGACCATTTCTGGATAAAAACTGCACCTCAGTGTCACACAAAGCTTAACTTGTACTCTTTGGAACAAAATCATGTCAAGCTGTGTTTACACTTATGCCTTAAAGCTAACTAATTGTTATTTTTATGTTATTTTTATTATTTGCTAGCAAGAAATCCAACAATGACCTTTTCTTCAATTCAACGGATTCTTTAGGAATTAGTGTTTATTCATTACTTTCTACTAGGGCTGTGCGATATTGAAGAAAAATGCGATATCTCATTAAATAATGCGATATTCGCTACGATAATGCTTAAAGTGCCACATGCTCAGATGAAACAGTTCTACTCAGCTGTTGCCGAGTCAGTTCTGTGAACTTCTAACTATATTGTGTCATATATATATATATGGTTATTTGTATGTATGTATGTATCAAGAGCTCCTGTAAAACCACAACAAATTCCTTGTGTTTGCGCACACTTAAGTGGTGTATAAAGCTCATTCTGATTCTGATTCTAATATAACTAGCATACATGTTTCACTTTTTGTGAGAAGAAAGCACCCCTACAACAACTTCTGAAAGTGAACGGTAGTGTTTTACTCTAGCATTACATAAAAATGTCATTTTAACATTAGTGTAATCATTTTAACATGAGTTTAGGAACTGAACTGAATAATAAAAAGGGAAAATACAACACTGCTTAGTATTTACTCTATGAATTCAATATGCACTGATTCTTATTTAAGCTACAAAAATTATTTAGGTAAGAGCAGTGAGTGATTTTCTCTGTCTTTTGTTCATGGCCCCAAATATTGCAAGTAGTAGCGATATGCATATTGCGATATTTAGATAATTTCGATATATTGCACAGCCCTACTATATACTTCCTAATTATTTTGCAACTAGTCACTATTCCAAGTCATGTCAAGTAACTAATCTATTGTTACTGGTATGAAATTGTTGATTTTTGCATTGAAATTCTATGGGGAGCTGTGGTTCAGAAGCTATTCAAATACATGTTAGAATCTCTTCGGGTGTTTAGCCTACTGGTAACCTTTCAGTATGTTTTTTATTTATTATTTATTTAATTTCAAAGTTTATTTAATTTTATGGCTACAAAAGTAGCTACTCTGACTTATTACAAGCAACTGTAACTATAGTGAGATAAGAAGGTTTACTAGAAAAAAACGGGATAGACACTAATAACTAAAAAAAAAGAACATAGCCTAATGAACACCTAATAAAAAGTTGAAAATGATAGTCACTGCTGGATTGCTTGCTATTTGTGGTTCAGAAGCTATTCAAATACATGTTAGAATCTCTTCGGGTGTTTAGCCTACTGGTAACCTTTCAGTATGTTTTTTATTTATTATTTATTTAATTTCAAAGTTTATTTCATTTTATGGCTACAAAAGTAGCTACTCTGACTTATTACAAGCAACTGTAACTATAGTGAGATAAGAAGGTTTACTAGAAAAAAACGGGATAGACACTAGAAACTAAAAAAAAAGAACATAGCCTAATGAACACCTAATAAAAAGTTGAAAATGATAGTCACTGCTGGATTGCTTGCTATACATAAGAATAAACACTAGATCGTTTTAAGGAATAAATGTTTAAACAGCATGCCATAAAACGAACTGGGAAGCAGGAGAAAAATGGCAAAATGCACCATTCCCGAAAAGCCGTTGGAGCAGATCATTAACTCGACTTCAAATTGACCAAGGAAGCTGCACTAGAGCCACAATGGATGCCACCACAGTCAAAACAGAACATGCCACAGAAGCAGAACCTGTGTTCCTCGTGGGCTCTGGGTAATCCTCATCATCGGGCTCATCATCGTCGAACCCACTGGAGCCTTCTTCGTCCACAAGGGGAGAGTCAAAGCAAAGCGTTTTCATACTAGTTTTGATAAACTCGCAGATAGTCCGCTCTGAACCATCACAGACGCAAGTATCCAGGAGTTGAGCTTTGGGAAGTGTGCGCATGTACGCGATGACATTGCGGCACGGGTTCGAGCAGCTGGAGCCGCTGAAGAGTTGCCCGCAGTGGAGTAAATAATCGCCCATGGCGCTTCGGCACTGGATGTCCCTCTCGCACTGGCGCCGGGCTTCGGTGCAGCCCATGCTGCTGGTTTTGGGTAAGCACGGTTCGATGGCTCGTTTAATCTCCCGGCAGCGGGGGTCCGAGGCGCAGCTGCAGTCCTCCAGCGCCGGGCCGCTCTTGGTAAGGTTGAGTTGCACCAGCGACGAGATGCAGTGACTGGGACACTTCTTCCTCTGGCCGCTCAGGATCGAGTCACAGGCGTGCAAATACTGGTCATAAGCGTAATGACAATCTGGCTCCGACTGGCAGTTCAATATCGCTTGCCAGCAGATCAACCGACGGCCGTGGTGGTTGGAGGAGGCGATGGAAAAACAACTAAAACACACAAGCACACAAGCGAAAGGCCAAAAGAATGTGCGCGCGCCACGAACCAAACCTGCACGAGTTGCCATTTCGAAGTCTGTATAATCGTTTGGCTGGTGTCAGGTCAGTTTTAAGCATGCATATTTCATATTTCCATTGCATCTAGTGAGGGAAAAATCCCTCAGCTCGGATCATGTTTGCAAGGTCCATTCAAAAGAAAAAGTTTGTTCCACAATTTCTATACCCCATGAGTCATAAGTCTTGTGAGCGCAATGATTTGATCGAGAGATAATAGTTGCTACATTCTGTATATAATGGTGAGATCAACAACCACCTTAGCAACAAGTAACTATTTCAGCTTTACCAGACATCAAACACTGTTCTTCCCATTTTCTCTTAGTCAACTTCAGTAACAGCTTCATTTAGATTTAGGAGATCTAAAACTTTTATAAACAACTGTTTTCTTTGGCAGACCGAATTTAAATAAGCCAGATGCTTGTGCAAGAGAGAGCTGCATGCCTTTACTTCAAATGGGGATTCATTTAAATTAACAACATACAGCTTTAAATGGGGATACATGCCTCAATAATGCATTAATGACAAACACAATGAAGTCACAGCACAAATGACGTCCTTCCTTGCTCATTATAAGAAAAACTTAAATTGGTAAACATTATTATCTTGACTTGTTTATAAGATCATTCTTTAGTAAAATATTACACAACAACAAGATGCCATTTTTTAACAGGGCTTTGGAAATTTTGGGATCAGTGCTGATGTGTTGATACAGCAAAAGTAAAGCACACAGAATCCCTCACAGAATATACAGATATGTATATTCCTGTAAGAACGTATAATTATTATTAGTTAAAAGGTTAATTGAAATGAACAGAAAATGCTTTCTTCTTATTCCACGCTCTAAAATATAAGGGTATGTTTGTTTGTTCTGTTTGTTCTTAATATTTTGTTCTGTAGCCAAATGTTACAGTCAAATGTTACCAATTATCATGCAATCATTAAGACAAATGTAAAAATCACAGATTATGATTAGAATTTTATAGCTGCCGATTTAAAACGTTTTAAACTAAATAACACTTTATATGCATGGCCTTTATTTTTTGCTCTAATCTAAGAATTCTTACACTTTTTGAGGCCTTAATGAGAAACAGATTCCTTACAATAATCCGTGGGGTGCTGTTGCCAAACTCCTGACCCCGATGGATGACCCTAAACAAAAACTCGCCCATGCCGTAATTAGAATAAACTCACTTTATTTTTCCCCTTTTTCATTGTATCATGGCAGTAGTGGAGAAGTAATATTCACATAGCAAAACACTGAAATCATACAGCCAGAACATGAACTTCTTTTAAAGAACATAGCTGTCAGTACTACAACATAGCAACATATTTTGAAAAAACAAAAACAAATTGTTGAACATTTTCATCCATTAATTAATCATATAAAGGGGTCATGAACCGAGAAATCAAAATTCCCTGGATCTTTTGACATATAAGAGGTCACTGTACTATAAAAACATCCTGTAAATTTCAGAACGCCAAACTTTCTTGTTAGTCTAAAAACAGCTTATATTGAAGCCAATCTGCCAAAACGACAGGTTGTGGAATGTCACTTTATGACATAATAGTGTGGCTAAACACAGCCTTCACAAAAGATGATCAATACCTGCTTCTACATCATTGCCAGTTTAGCCCCGCCCACCAATTTGAGTATATAGTGTAAATAACGAGAGAGGCAAACACAGGACAATGCAGAAACCAAATGATAACGATGGCTCCGAAGACAACAAAATGCTGTACAGTGTCAAATGGCTACCATATATTTCAGAGATTTCTTGCTAAACATGCTGCACAGTTTTTGCGCCCAGAAACTGTAAGTAAATACTAAAGTATTACTCATGGAATTTCTTACATATTTTGGAACTATCCTATTTGGATAGGATATCCTCTAAAAACCTGCTTAGATCCTACTGGATAAACAAATTCCCAAAAATAAAAGTAAAATAAGAAAAATTCAGTTTATACAGTTAGATCCTAATTGATTTTTAGCGGGTTCTTATAGGATTGGTTCCAAATTATAATCGAAATTATAATAACATTCCTACAGGAAGTTGTGGCAGCACAGCTGCTTTTGGTTTTATTGGGGCTCTAAACACACCAACAACTGTTGTTAACGGCATGATAGAGATATCGACAGCTGCCCTATACTGTTGTCCAGAACTATTTAGAAATTAGCTGTTGCTGAAGTCGATTAAGAAATAAACTTTAAAATGCAACATAACCAGTACTGGTTTATATAGTTTTTTTATTTATTTTTATAAATACAATCTTTTTAATCTGGACATATCTGTGCTTCATCATTCTTTGTCATGAATAATAATACAAAGCCAAAACCCAACACTAAAGCATTGAGCTTTTCAGGGAGTATAATCTGTATCTATGTGGAGTGTCCTCTGGAATCCAGACATCAATATCGCAGTCAGGGAGGATGTTGACTAAAAACCTCATTCACTCTCATTCCATTCCAGCACTGCCATCAGCTGCCATCCCATCTTCTGACTGACACCAGATAGGAGGACAGATATCTTGCCAAGTCCTGTTTGAACCCATGGCCATGTCAACTCCCTTGATCAGCGCGCACACACACGCACACAGACAGACCAGCTGTTCCAACACATGGCCTCTTAGCCTTTCCATACTATAAGTGACTATTTATTCAGGCCTAAGGGCCCATCATACCATTGCAGAGAGGGGAAGAATGCCATGTGTGCATATGGGGCCAGCCAATAAAGACATAGCCCCTCACAGACATGACCGTAATCCAACAAACATGGTGCAGCACGGAAGAATTTTACTGCACGAGACACAACAAAGCCTGACAGTAAAAACGAGTGGCAACCACAAACATTCTTTATGGGCATTAATGATTTTTAGAAATCAAAGAGCAAAAGTCACGCAAATGCAGATGTCAGACTTAAAACTTTGATATAAGGTCAGGTGTTCAAATAATTCAGATGAGTAATTTCTTAAAACTTGCACTAAATTATTGGCCCATGTTGTTTCCCACACCCACATGCAATTATGCTCTGCTCTGCTATTCTTTCATAATAGTTAATTCGCCTATTTGTTGATATTTTTGGCAAGATGCATTCATTACACAAATACTTCAAAAGCATATTAGTTGAGAGAGTATAAAATATTCACAGCCAAATAAAATATAACCACACCTGTCAAGCTGTGGCTATGGTGGGAAAATGTTCTCTGAATTTCTTAAGCCTGTTTCAAACACCTTGTCATATTGGCACTGTATTGGTATTTCAAAGAGCCATAGCTTGTAAAACACAAGCTATCCGAACCTTTAGTAACCTTGTGATGGTAAAGCCTAAGTGTCAAAATTGGCATGCAGGACTCCGCCTCCACAATCACCCTATCCTTTGACCCTCTGCCCCCAGTTGTTGCAAAAAGCCTGGCCTGACCTGTCTGGATATGGAGACGTAAAGAACAATGTAGGCAGGTAATGCAAAACCTTTAGCATGATTCCCCCTTTAGGTACATCATGCGCCTGTGGCCTCTGATGTGTTATGGGGCTACTTTGTTTTTTAAACGATCACTGTGGGGCTGAACGCTGGCCACCTCAAAGCTTAGAATAACTGAATGACACAATGGTTTCTTTTCTAAATAAATCGATGTGGGGAGAATGTTCAAACTCCTAGCCCCCTTTTTCTCTGTCAGAATTTTTTTCCCTTCATTCCCATCTGTGAGCTGTAAGAGCAATATCTCGCTCTCTTCCTCCTCTGAGAAATGCAAAGTTTTCCTTCTGGGCAACTGTGGAGCTGAGCCCTGCCCTTCTTATTTTACCGCTTTGATTAGATGATATCAGCTATCACTTCAGGCCCACATCATTGCATCTCACTAGCTTTCTCTCTCTCCCTTTTTCTTTCCCACAGGCACATGCTAAATAAACTGCATATGTCAAGTCCTCGAGCAATACATTTTCTGTTTTAGATTACAACAACAGTCATATTCTATACCTAAGAGTCTTCCATTAAATGTGATTAGGAATTAAGAATATTTAGGAGAGTGTAATAACTATATGGTTATGGAGAGAAAAGGGAATACAGATACAGAAGCATTCAAAAGTCTGGGGTTATTTTTATTTTATTTATTGTTGAAAAAATAAATGAATAGTATTATGCAGCAGTGATGCATTAACTTGATCAAAAATAACAGTGAAGACATTCATAATGTTACAGATACAACATGGCTTCCACATAAATGTTAAGGATTGGAGTAAATTCAGCTTTCATCTCATAGAAATCAATTACAGTTTAATATATATTCAAACAGAGTAACCTATAAGTTAATTGCAATATTTTTTACAATATAACTCTTTTCACTGTATTTTTGATCAAATGAATGCAGGCTTGATGAGCATAAGAGACTTCTTTTAAATATTTAAATATTAATAAAACATTTAACCCTCTACGGTATGGAATATGATATCAGTGAGGAAAAAAATATTTGTGATGTTGTGACTATAACAATATCAATAAAAAATGTCATTATTTATTTATTTAAATTTTTTTTAAGTTTGTTGCCTCAAGGCAACACTGTACCACAATGGACACGTTTAAACATTTGACATTTTCATGCAGAAAAAATAAATATATTTATTTAACCAAACACTTTTATCAGATTTATCTAGATTTTAATGTATTGCACATGCATGCAAAATCTCCCACTAATGACACCTCACTGCTTGTGAAAACTGAGGAAGCAATTCTTCTCAACAGACAAATCATAATATGTGCAGATTTACTATTCTTGAAAATTCATTACAAAATCATGCAAAAATTCTAATACATTTAGATAATTCTAACTCTTTTCCTTACAAATATCATATACTTGTATTCTAACCTAGTATGCCTGCATGGCCTTATGCGATTCCATTGCAGTACAATATTGCCTTGAGGCAACATGCGTTTTTTTGTAATTTCCTATACGTACATTTGATGAAATATGTAAAGTTTTTCAAAATACTTCTTTACCTTCCAATGAAGGTGACTAAGATTTTTTTGTAGGCAATTATATGCACGGAAATTGATGAAAAATGCACTTTTCATTGGACAAAATATGGAGTCATATGACATGTGCACATGTCCTGAAAGCAGAAACAAAATGGACCCCTGTGGGTCATGTGACCACTTTTTTTA